ACATCATGCTGTATTGGCATAATTAAAGGAAAAATAACCTATGGGGAAAGAATCTCTTAAACCAGTTCACCACAGGTTAGTTAATTGTGCCATAGATTAATGGTATTGGATCCCGCTGCAGTAAGCAACTAAACTGCTGTTGGTTCCATCATTGCAGTTTTTGCCAGTCTTCAGCAAAGCCAAAAAGAGAAGCAGCTCTCTGGGTGCTTACATGCAAAACCCCCATACTTCTTCCCTTAATGAACTAAACCCCCTTATTCTGGCCATAGCATGCTGCTCGCTGACTTGCTTGTATACTAATAACATAAAAACTAAACATTCTCTAGTTGGAAAAAATAATTCTTTTTAATCTGAGGATTAAATCACTAAGCACAGGCTATCAAATCACAGATTATTCAATCACTAATCACAGATATTAAAATATATTACCTGCTAAACAAATGAAGTACCACCAAGTTTATATTAAGAAAAAGAGATGTCAAAAAGGTGGCTCTGGGAAAGAGTTGTAAAAAAACAGTAAGGCCATATCAGTGTGATGATAAAAGTTAAGATTTTTCAGCCATGCACAAGACAGCAAATTCAGTGTTAGCATTAATTTTGCACCTCTGCATCTATACATCATCATATAGTTCCTCAATATATCTTTTATGGTCTTCAAGCTGTTTTGACACCCTTGCAAAAACAGACTGGTTTAATGCATTTCTTTCACTGCATCTTTCAGCCATGAGGATATTCTTTCTTGGCTCATCTTTTATCTGCAAATGGGTTTGCTTACTATAGTGATGGGAGATAATTGTCTCTCTGAATTAGAGCAATTTCTTTCTATGGTGCTCATCACAGAATTTGTCGTCTCAAGCTGTAAACGGGATTTTCTTATCTCTCCTTTCACATGTGGGAAACGGAGACTAAAGCCAAACAATTTTTGCAAGTGACCACCTTGCATTAACTCAGCCTGAGTACCAATAGCTTCTGCAGATTTCAGTTTGTTTATTGTGGCATGAAGACTATCCTGCAAGAGTAGAATCCAAACACTTCTTAAAATTTTATTTTATTGTAAGGCTTTTACTTAATATCAAGCCAGGCATTTGAACCAGCAATTAAGAAGTGAAGGTCTCTTTACATCCTTATTGGTACCTTTGCACCTGGCAAGCTGTTTAACAAAAATCTTAAAAGTCAAGTGTGTAGCAAACAGTTGAACTTTTGGGGGGTTTTGTTTGCTGTGCCTGTCTGCATAGCTGCATTTTTTTTTTTCTTGAATTTACAGCTTCTGTCAGTCCTGTACTTTTAAGAGGCAGTTTAGGTGATTTAGGAAGTGAATCAGTAGATTTAATGGACTACACTGATCTTACTTTAAACAGCTAATTTTCAATATCCTTTGGGCTATTTGAGACAAGGAGGAAAAGTGGTACTGTCTAATCTGATTACATTTCACTGTAGTCTCCAATGATTGACTATTTAGTACATTTGAATTGGAAGAAAAAGCTTTTCAGTTTTTAGACTGCCAGTTCATATGGATTTCAGTTTAGTAAAAGCTGGAAGTAGTTTACCATCCTTACAGGATGTCTCCATGAAGCTAGGTGGGCAGAGGCCAAAAATAAAATAAAAAAAAAAAAAGGAATTAAAAAGACCCAGCCAATTAGAGTGAAAAAGGATGACTTCATCTGGGAGCAGAACTAACTGCTTCTCTGTACAGGTCAGGCAATCTGAAGGAGCTGTGTAACTTTGCAGCTTCTGCTGCACTTAATCAATAGAAGGACTGTCAGTTTGGTCTTACTCTCAGCACTAGATTTATTTTAAATGTAGTTATGTACGGTATTTGGCCTACATCTATTGTAGCCACTTATTCTGGGGTGATAGTGTTGTAAGAATTTTCATGTCAGTGACTAAGCAAAAAGGTTAGGTTTTGTTTAGTTGTATGTGAGGTAGTGTCGGGGTTTAACCCCAGCCAGCAGCTAAATCCCACCCAGCTGCTCGCTTACTCTCCCCCAGTGGGATGGGGCAGCAAATCAGAAGGGTAAAAGTGGGAGAACTCATGGGTTGAGATAAAGACAGTTTAATAGGGAAAGCAAAACCTGTGTACGCCAAGCGAAGCAAAACAAGGAATTCATTCCCTGCCCCCCATGAGCAGGCAGCTCAGCCATCCCCAGGACAGCCGGGCTCCGTCACACATAACAGTGACTGGGGAAGACAAACGCCATCCCTCCAAGTGTCCCCCCCTTCCTCCTCCTTCCCCAGCTGTATATGCTGAGCATGGTGCCATATGGTGTGGGACATCCCGTGGGTCAGTTGGGGTCGGCTGTCCCGGCTGTGTCCCCTCCCAACTCCTTGTGCCCCCCCAGCCACTCGCTGCTGGGGTGGGGTGAGGAGCAGAAAAGGCCTTGGCTCTCTGTAAGTGCCGCTCGGCAGCAACGAAAACAGCCCTGTGTTATCACCACAGTTTACAGCACAAGTCCAAAACATAGCCCCGTACTGGCTACTAGGAAGAAAATTAACTCTGCTCCAGCCAAAACCAGCACAGGTAGACACGTGTAAAAATAGCTATACAGTAGGAGGGCATTGCAGAACAGATTTTCAGGTCGTCTTTTTCTGGTGATACTCCTTCTTATGCTTATCAACATGCAACAAGAGCCCTCTTCTTTCAAAACTTGATAGCATCAGTTTAGAAAATTGGATTGCCTAATCATGCTGCCTTCTGATGACTGAACATACACCTGTCCCATAAACAACTAATTTTTGCAGATGCTGTCATGTGCCATAAGGAATGTGCTTTCTTCTTGAATTGCAGTAAGGTACCAAACACGGTATTTATACATGACACAAAATGTTAACGAGATATATATATATATAATGAGAATAAAAAATAAAAATATAGTCTATGTATTTATTAGAATATTTATATTTTAATTGACAAAAATTAACTCTGTCAGTACATCTCCTCTGTTCTGTAGTTTGAGGTAATGCCATTTACTGTACATAACTCTCAATTGTTTTATTCTGTAGGTATATCACAGCACGTTTTCCAGGTAGCTCTAGGCTTTCCTTTGGAAACCGCCAAAATACTTTCTTGTACTAGTCTGTTTAGACTGTATAGTTTTGAAATTTTTCCTGTTTTGGACAAACCTCCTCTCTGGAAGGCCTTTGTGAAGTTTCAGGGGCAGAATAATATGAACTTTTGGTAAAGATCTCCAGTATGCGTGTCTCTCTTGATAGACTTCTTTATGTAGCCTGTCTTTAGATGCTACAGGTTTTGTTGCATATATTTTAAATGTTGATTCTTGTTCAGAGTTTGGGAGCAGAGCACCTTTGGGAATAGTTTAGAACCTCACAGCTGTGTGGTACCTTTGTGCTTAATAAAATCAGCATGCTTCCCTTCTGTTAAAGCACATGGTTATTTTCAGTGTAGTTTCCTTGAAGCTTCCATTAGCATCAGATGTTAAATTCTGAATTTGCAGAGTGGAGAGTTGCTGCTGCGGGGAATGATGGGTACCTTCCCTCCTTCTCCCTCCTTCCATGTCAGCTCAGATCCCTTCCAGTTGAGATGAAGTACCAGCCAATCATAAGATGTATAAAGATATTTAAGACAATTCATCAGAAAGACCTGTGTCAACTCCACTGTATAAAAAATTCAGTGCTCCTACCTTGTGAAAATCTGCTGTGTTTGTGCATGTGTTCTCATATATCTTCTGTTGAATGTTGCCTAATTTCTTTTGATATCTGACTAACCTCATTGCAATTTCCTCCATTGTAGAAGTGGCAAAAAACTTTTACATAACATGAACTAATAGCAGCAGGTCTGTTCTGTTCTAGCTGTTGAATTATTCTGCGACTATTATTCAGATCCCTCAGCATTTGCCATTTATTTGTATGATCGATGGCAGGCAAATGAGACCACAGGCTCAGGGCAGGGTTAAGTATTTTCTGGTGTATTTTTACAGCATTTGCTGAGATGAGGCCCTGATCACAAATCAGAGGTTTAAATCCCACTGCAGTATGTATCATTAATGGTATGCAATGCTTTTCAGTAGCATGTAGAATAGCCCTGTGTCTGGCAGTGGTGCAGACCCCCTCCTCAGTCTCCTGTTGGCAGAGCCCCGTCGTGCCTGATGTACCGTTCCAGACTGCAGGCTGGTATGTGAGACTCGAGCTCTGTGTGTGTGGGGAAGGGACTTCTGTGTCTCTGCCAGTAGGGCTGTGAAGATGCAGTATATGTTTGTCTTCTTCAGCTTCAGCACTTGGTAGGCAAGATCAGGAGGGTACCTGTTCTTCATTTTTGTGCCCCTCTAAGGCTGGATAAATACTGCAGTCATTGCTACTTCTGAGTGGGGATGATAGGTTTAGTCAAGGAGGTAATTAAAATTGAGATAGTTTTTAAGTACCTGACAGATTGGCCAGTTAGCTTACCTCATGTGTGACTTAGTGAGAGACCTATCTGTGATGGTTGGGTGCCATAAGAAACTAGGCAGCAGAAAGCATCGCATACCTCTAAAGTTAAAGCCACATGGATTGAAGGGATTTGCACTGTTACTGTCTCTCTTTGTGCTAGATAATTCGTCTTTTCCTGTATGCTTTGTATCTGTGCTGACAGGATACTTCAGGTCACTAATTACTAATCTTCTGTTTGAGCTGTAACAATGCTTATCACTCCTACTACTTCAGTACTTGGCAGATTTGCAGGTGAAGAACAGATCTGGAAAACAAGGTGAGAGAAGAAAGAAAAAGTGAATACAAGATATCCTCAGTTGTACTCAGGTGCTGTAGTGCTTCCTGTCCTACATGTTATTTATCTGTTGATAAACAGATACAGTAATGCCCACCTTAGTCATTTATGTAGCTATTTTTTTTTCTTTGTTGTTGAATTTCTATTGCAGTGTAGATGAAAGTTGATCAACCCAATAGTGATACTGAGTTTCCTGTGCAAAAGGAAAACAACTTAGAATAATACGTACTTTAAATTGTGGGGCTGTCAAGGTGACACTGTTATTTTTGCTGTTTATCTGCAGAAGCTGGAAAAGTCTGACTTGGATAACTGGGAGAACATCAGAGGACCCCGTCTGTGGGAGGATTCCAGGACTGTTCAGAAGCAACAGCGGGAGGCTCTCCATCTCAAGACAGAGTGACTGAGCAAGCCTGCTTTGGTGCCTCTGCAAAAAAAAAAAAGTCTCAGGCTGGACTGTCTTATTTTTTAATCCAGCATTGAGAACAGACATGGGAGGGGGGGATTGCACTGAGCAATTCATGCTGGTGTCTATATAAGTAACTATGAGATCAGCCCAAAAGGCACTGTATTTTATGAAGCTCTTTGTTTGCATCCATTTGCACGGCATTCCTCAGACTATATATATGAATTCTCAATTAAAAATAGTTGATTATTCTACTGAGAATATCCCATTGTTTTTCAATCCCTATCGTTCAAAACTGAGATGCTTCATCAAGGAATAACATTGCAGGAGTCACTTGTCAGTACCAGAAGTTGTCATTGTAATGAGAACAACAGTGCTGTCATCTGGATGTGTGTGACCAGCTTAATGCTGCTTCAGGGAGCCCCTGCGTGACTTCAGGCTCTTAAGCTTGGAAGGGACTTTACAAGCATAAGAGCTGTTCAGAACAGTGAGTCCATTTTTGGCTAAATAATATTCCTGTGTTTCATTTCCAGGAACTTGACTGTACAGAGTCATGTACAGAATGTTAGCTGGTGATCGGTCAAATAACATTTGTTTAACTGTGGTTAGATTTTTGTGATTGTTGATACCTTTGTGCAGGCAGGACCTTTGCACTGGAACTTCTCAGTTTAAGTTGGAAGAATTCTTCCTCACTAAGGGCTGTCTTGTTTCTCTGTGAGCAAGTATTGTAGCAGATTCTTCTTAAACTACTATATAGTGGCAAAGCTCATCTTACACGTAGTATTACATGTATATTTGTGCATGTGTGCAGAAATTTTTTATCTTTTGATGGATTTTTCTGAAGTGCTTGTCTTTTTATATTTGTCTTTGTGTGCTAAATGTTTGCTGTTAGAGGAAACCATGCTAACATTCCGGACCCTTCTGTTGAGGCAATGAAGAAGCATCTAGTTAATTTTTCAAATTAAATGAAGCTTTTGGTAAGGGGCTAGAACAGACCTGTAGAACTTCTCTTCAGAGGAATGGTGTAGTAGAGTACAGAGTAACAGTAGACTCTAGTTTCAAAGAATTCAGTGACACCTATATGTAAATCCTTTTGGAACTGTTTTTGGAAGTGTGGTCTTACTCCTCTCTGCAAGAGTGTCAAATGCAATCTAAATGTCCTTTTGGACACTTTATTTAGGGTAGCCTCCTTGTCCTCGGGTAAATCTTCCCTCAGCACTTCATTATCTTCAGTTTCTCAGTGATGAGGTCCAGTCTTTCTATCAGGAAGAAGAATCAGCACTGATTTTGAGAGCTGTAAAGCAATTCAAAAAGCATTACATGAAATATCTTGCCCAAGTTTTGTGCATGTTTTCTTCTGATAGAGTTGTGAAGACCATCAGTGTCACACGCTATCTGGAAAGTGTTGCATGTTATCGGGAACAAGGTTAGAGCTGTGTGTTTGTGTGTTTCCCTGTTCAATAGCATATATATCTCTGGTTCTAAATAAATGCACTAACAAATTAAACCAACCAGGAGAGGAACAAGAGGAGCAATACAAGAGTGAGGTAATCATAAATGCTATGGAGAAACAACTGAAGAACTAGGATATGGAGGCATTAAACTGTGCTAGACCTACACGAGAAGGAAGTTGGTTTAATTGTTTTGTCATTAGTTTTACCTAAAAGATAAAACAATATTCTTAGACAAATAAGATGCAAAATGGGACAAATTAAGGAGTAATTAAAACTGCATGCCTTGCTAAGCATTTTTTCAACTCATAATTCGAATCCTGGTGCAGTTCCACTGACAGCAGCAAGAGTGATTGCTCAAAGGACTTCAATGCATTCACTACACTAACAGAATATTCTCTGAGTTAGGGCTCCTGCAGCATCACTGCTACTGTTACAGTACTAGCAGGACTACTGGAAATGTTTCTTTACATTCCCTGGTATAGACCCATCTTGTGTGGAATCTGAAAATTCACTGTCTTTTCCAGAGTGTACATGTCTTCCTTTTCTTAGCCTTGATTGAAGGAGAAGGGAAGTTGCCATTGCTTTGCATATGGAGAGGCATGATCAGCTCCCAGTTTTGCAACATTGGCTTACAATATAGACCAACACGACCCCTGAAATAAACACATGGCGCTCTAGGAACAACATGTGTAGGAAAAGCTACCCTTTCCCCCAGGGGAAGCAGCACAGGTATTTCTCTTTCATGAAGCCCTTAGGCTTATCAGTTTTCTTGATGAGCAAAACACTCTCTGAAATATCCTGTGTATTTTTAGTAATTTGATATCCAACAAAGGCTCTTTTAGGAATGGTCATCTTACTTCAGCAGGTCTGGAATGTATTTGTAAATAATTACTTCTGTGGAGAACACTTTTATATGTCAGAATTTAGGACTCGGTTTTAGTCAGTTGCTTGCTGGTTGTGGGCCCCCCCACCCCTCCCTTTTCATAGGCACTAAATTTCCTGTAGTTTCTGAGGGCATGTTTGTGACTACCTTTGAAGTGACATCTCTGGAAAGTGATGGATTTATCCTAGCATCTCTGAGAAACACTGACATGCAGTTGGAAAACCTTCCAATTTGCCCTTCTCTTCAACTTCCCTTTTAAGAGACAGTCCATATCTACTGACAGTCCACTAAAAAAAATTCCCACCTTTTTTTTTTTTTTAATACTGTTGACTCATTCATGGGAAAAAAAAAAAACACACAACAATAACTTTTGGCAGGTAGGGAAGCTGTACTTTTCATATAATGGGAAAAGCTATTTCAGCAGTTTATTGCCATGCACATGGACAATGGCTTCATGCTTTATGCTGTGCACTTCTTAGCGACTGAATTGGAAATAATACTTAGGAAAGGTGTGTTGAGAGTCAATTAAAGTCTTTTAAGTTGTGCATCCTAAAGTAGAAGGTACTCCAGAAATGTGGAGAATTATAGTTCACAACACAAACAAGAAAGGCAAACTTCAATTGGTTCAGGACTCAGGCTTAGTTTGGCTGCTTATTTGAACTATTCTTTTGAAAGCCATGTTACAGCACTCTGCTTATCTCTGAGGCACCTGGGGACAACCTTGTTGAATTCCTGAATTGTTATTCTAAGCATCTGTGGCTGGAGGGGAGGTCAGAGGCAATTAAATGCAATTGTCAGTCTCAGACACTGACATTTTTGCATCCTCTTTGGTAACTGGCATATACTGGTCTGAGGGGAATGAAAACAAGGCTTTAGTGAGAGGTGTGAAGTATTAAAGGGGTAAAAAAGGATTGAAAAAGCCAGATCTTCTAGTCAGTGTTGCTGAAATTAGAAATAGAAGAAGGAAGTCTGGTTAGGTGTCTGTGTGTATGTGGACTGAAAAATCGGTTTCAAAGTCCCTCTTTTGACAATAAAGGAGAAAGTGTTTATCTCTCAAATAAACTGTGGCAAGGTTGGTCTCTGGGATCTTCCATAACAAGAAAAGCAGTAGGGCCTAGAAGCGGAGGGAATCTGGGGCATCTGTCTCCAGGGGTAGGAAGAGCTCAGTGCAACCCCCAGTGGGTATCCAGCTGGATGGTTCCCAGTGGCAGGTATCTGCAGTCCAAAACTCTAACCAGATCTTTGCATGAGATCAGCCCTGTGGATCCTGCTCACTGAGTGTGTTTCTCCTATAGCACTTCGAATTTGCAGACTCAGAGATGACCCAAAAGACAAATTGCTCAATATCATAGTTCAGCTGTAACAGAGATGAATGAGAGGCTTAGTGAAAGCTGTAGCTGCTGTGATCAAAAAAAGGTTTCAAAACCTGTTCAATAGCGTAGCAGTTGAGTTTCAGAGCTCCTGAACACATCTGGATGAGCAGCTGGGTGTTAAAAACTTCTAGAATCAAGATGCAGAGAACAATCTTGTCAATAGTGATCCTCTAAGGTCTCAAAAATGGCTCCAGCTACCCAAAAAAGTTAGGTTATGGCATAATAAAAGATGAGTGATGGGAGTTTTAGACCAGAATATAGAACGCAGAAACTTCTGAAAAATTATTTAAACATACCCCATCATCAGCTGGGACCAGTCCCAAAAAGCAGAGGGAGAAATCCATTTCTTCACAGAGAAGCAGCAACTTGGAGTGATTTAAAGGTTACTGTTCACTGGATGTTTTACATGGACACTTTTTATTTAACTGTAGGTACATGTATATGGGTGAAACTTAGAACAATAGGTTTCACATTCTGAAATAACTACACAGACCCTTGTACTTCTTGATGATCCTTGTATTTGCTCTGAGTTGCTACATTTGAATTTCCAACACAAGTCCAGGGCAATTTTCATTTTTATGTCTTGTATTTTCCAGAGGCTTTTCTTTCTGCAAGAAATGGAAAAGCCTAATACACTTTGCTACTGTGTCCACTGGGGGGGAGGGGGGAAAGAATAAAGGAACAGAGAAAAGAAGGGAATTATCTGAAGTCTTAGGGAAAGCAGAATAACTATTTTTACATGAAGATGGTCAAAGAATTTTCAGTAATCTTTTATGGTTAGAAAGGCTGCTTTCTGTCAGTGTTTTCAGTAGAAAACCTCTTTTCATCCTTCAGTGGAGTAAGGTTCACAAAAAAATTTCCACTATTTTAAACTAGCTAACTAGAAGGTTTTAATCAAAGGAAGGTAATTGCTCACTGGTAGGCCACCTTTCCCTAAAAGGACTTGCAGCCAGACTCGGCCAACAAACAAATAGTCTCTAGACATAGAAAGAAAACCTCCATGCAGGTGTTTTTCTTAAACTTGTCCTCACCGGAGGAGCCCAAAGCAGTCTTTCATACCTCTAGAATCAGACTAGCCATATTGTCTTGTTGAACACGTGCTTTATCTGCATGTTTAACTCTCTTGCTTAACACAGACAAGAAATTCAAGTTTCACCCTGACCATCTTCGTGCTGCTTGGGAGGCATGTTAAAATGAAATTCAACCAAACCGGCAGCTGGTTGTGCTGCAGAAAGAACATGTAAAATATGGCTATACATTGTAAATGTGAAAAGAAAAGTAGTATATGTGTCATAGTCACAGGTCATTTAGGAAAGAAAGAAAGAAAAAAACAATATCTGAAAACCAGAAGTAAGTTATGCACTTTCACCCAGCATACTTGGAGTCTGGCTTGATGTGCTTCAGTTGATGGAAAAAATGACCATACTTACTCAGCATGGCTGTTCCAAGGTAGTTGGTGCTCAATACCAACTCCACTGTGCATGGTCAGTACCACATCCATTGTGGTGTCAACCCCAAGGAGGCCCAGTGGCTCCCAGGGATATGGCTTAATCCCAGGCAGAATCAGGGGTAAATCCATGTCTCTGCCCTCCAAATCTGTTCTCCCTCCTCTTTCTGTCCTGTCTGCCAGTGTTCCTCCTAAAAAGTAACAGCTCAGGCTCTGAGCTGCTCTTCCCTAATGGAGCTGGCTGTAAAATGTCACCCGCTTCTTTTTAAAGTTCATTGTCTACCAAGAATTGAATAATATTGGTTTCTAAATTAATTTTAAGATGTCCTGTAAAACGTAAGCTCAAAAACACAGACCCAGTATTATATCCCCTAAGTATGGCACCCAGCATACAATGGGTTTCTTTTTATCTTTAGATACACAATGCTGTACTCTCTATTTTATGTACAGAGGAAATTAAATGTACTTTTTTCTTTAACAGATGAGATCTTCATCCATCACCAGCTGTCAGTTCCTAATAATGTTGCCCAGAGAAGTGTTATCTGTGATTTAGTGGCTTTAGTGGACTATCTTTTGTTGAACAGAGGACAGCAGAATAAAATTTCAGCTTAATATAGCTCTTTTCATACTCCTTCTGAATAAACAGAAGAAAAGAGGAGAGCAAGAGCAAAGAATCTTGAGTTCTAGGCTCAAGTTTCTTCTGTTTTGCAATAGATAGGGCATTTTAAGAAAGAAAAGGAAGGAAAACGAAAGTGAAAAAAAAAAGGAAATAAGAGAAAAGAAGAAACGTGGAAAGAAAAAAGCTTAGGGACAAAAATAGTAATAGAAAACAGAGTGTTCTTTCTGACTGGTCCTTCTGGATAGAGTAGGAAGGAAAATTGTTTCTGTCTCAGGAAAAACTTTTGAGCTCAAAAAATTCTTGTCTCAAGTCAGAATGCAAAGTCAAGTATAATATTTTGCAAGCTACTGGTTTTAGAAATATTTTTGTTTGGGTGAACCACAGCATTTTATTTTGCTTTTCATGTCTTTCCATTCTTGTTTCTTTTTCCTCAGGTAAGGAGAAACCACCACTGATCTTAAAAGCGTGTTTTTCACTTAAAAGACTGTCAGCACAAAATGTTTCAACAGTTTCCAAAACTTTTCACAAAAAGTGTTCTCAATAAGAGTAAAGATCTGTCAAAATAGATCCCTCTCAATGAACAGGCTGCAAAATGTCAATCAACTAGATTTATAAAAAAAAAAAAAAAAAAAAAAAGAAAAAGAGAATAATTGAGAAAGATCTTTTATCAGCTGTACCAGTCAGTTCCTTCGCTGACTGCTGGGCACTGATGCTGCTCGCCGAGCGGTTTGTGGCTGCACACCTCTGGCTGCGGCCCTGCCGGCTCCCCACCAGACGTGCACATCTGCACTGGGAAGGTTGCACTCCTGCAATTTAACAGAGGATTTTGCCACTCAGTAACTGGTAATAAAAGACCTACCCCTTACTGCATCCAGTATTCTGCTATCCCAGGTAACGGCATTGTAGTTTTTATATAAACTGATGATGTTGCCTCTAAACACTCGTTCCCCTGGCTCCCTGCTTTTGCTAATACTACAATCTTAATTTATTTCTGTTTAGTTCATCTTAAATTATGTCATTTTTTAATTAGATATTCAGAGAGCATGCATATATGTCATAATATAATAAGAAAAAGCTCAACGTTTTTCCCGATCTAAAACAAGGCATTGCCCCTGTTTAAGTGCTAGGTCTAGGGTTTCCATCATTCTGAATTACCTGTCTAGCAACAAATCAGCACTGAAAGACTCCAGACCTACTCACATTCATGTATACTTGAAGTGACTATAGTCCATCCAATTTTGGAGTCATGTCTTACCATTATCTGGCTATCCACCCCACTGCAGATGCTTTTTTGCCTTGCAAGCATCCTGACTGGGCTGTAGATGTGACTAAAGTTAAATGCATATTTTCAGTACAAATGTCTGAGATTGCACATTTCTTATAGTGGGCCTTTTGGGCTGTATGCTCCCTGTGAAGTGCAGACATCCTTATTGGTTGTGCTGGGATAACAGACTGCAAAATCATGTTTTATTTCTATCATCCTTTAAATCAAATGAACTCGAAGGCAGTTTGATCGAATTTTTTGAAGTTCACCCTGGCCCTGATATGGGGTGTTTTTGGAAGGTTTAAAAGTGAATTATGACAGACATAGGGAAGTCATTGCAGAGAAACAGCTGGGAATACTCATGTTTCAGTTTAGCTAAAACCCCTATATTTTAAATATTCACAAACGTAAATGTCTTAAATGCTTGTTTGAATGTCTAGTTTCATGTATCTCCCATGACCAGCATAGAACATGTGCTTTTTTTTTAAGTGGACTGAGGTTTCTGACTAATCCAGGTTATTCAAACTTTGCAAGAAAAAGCTGGATATGGGAAACTGTATTTTCTATGGATGGACCCAGTTGGTTGGTCAGCGATTTTGAATACGAATAGGAGGAAGAGACCTTTATCTCTTATCTTTCATCTATTCAAGAAGATTTCTTGCCCCTGTAATGAATTATTCACAACAGAAATTAAAAATTGAGCAGTCTTTGTCCCTTGAAGCTACACAGGGCTGTTCAATGCTATCTGACAGGTCCATTTTTCTAACACATTCTGCACATGATCTTAAAAGTGCAGACATAATTTCCCAGTGAAGCCAGATTTGCACATTACTGCCTTAGATTAACCTCACTAACTTGATAGTATCCTCCACATGTATCATATCATACATGGGTCTCTTGGTTATTTATCCCTGAGGTGTCTATTGTTTTCCCTCCGTCTTCTTTGCTAGCAGTAGAAGGATGCCCAGGATTTTCGACAGCTCCCTGAGGTTAAAAACATCAATATTTCTTCTCCCAAAAAGGATATTTTCTTCAAAACAATTTTTTTAAGTTCTATTGCTGGCAAACACTATCCACTTTAACTGCCACATATTCTATACAGTCTTTTTGTATTTCCCTTTCTGTGTGTTCAGGTAATGCCAAGAAACTAGCAGCAGGACAGGTGTTACTTCTCTTCTGTGCTCTCTGCCCGGAGAGACCATGATCTAGGAACCCCGGCAGCAGTTGACCAAAGTGCTTCTGTGCCTTGTTCTTTTGTCCTTGGAGAAGTTTCTTTTGCCCTTGGGGGATTCACCATGGCCTTCTTTCTTTGTGTGAAGAGGTATAGCAGAAGATCTGAAATTTGGAAAATACGTAATAACTTAAGGTCTCTTGTGTGTTGCCATATGACTGTTAAAGCTGTTTTGTAGAGAGTGTGCATTATATATCAAGTATCTAGATAGATATACACACACACATATTTAGACAGCCCCAAAGACCGCATTCCCCTTTCTGTGCACACACAATGGAGAGCTGGAGCAGAGCGTCCTGTTGATGGGGACTTGCAGGGATCATCTCTGAGTGATGAGGATGGTTGCTTTAGTAGGAACCAGCTCTATGCAGTGATTCCCTGCCCACATTACACAGAAGAGAATTCATTTTCCCACCAGCATACAGGGTAGGTCCATTCAAATCAAGTATCTAGGCAAACATTAACATCAAGGCAGGTGCAGACAGTGATCACCTCAGCCAAAAGTAGATGTCTACCAAGGTGGGTGTTGAATCAAACTCTACCACATCTTCCCTTCCACTGATCTTGGAAGGCACTTAGGTGTGACTTTTGATGACTTTGCCTTTATAAGGCTAGCTTATAAAGGTGAGCTGGATTCCAAGAAGTCTCCTCATTTACTAAGCAGTCTGAGGAGCTCCACTTTTGGCTCTTGTGGAAGTTAAGACAAAACCTTTGGATGGATGCATGCAAAAATCAGTGAGGGCCTGTGTTCCTCTGCTAGTGCTCTCGAGCTTTCCCTGAACCATTTGGGACAGGGTTAAGAGCTCTGAATGAGTTTGAAATTAGGGCAGCTCTGATATTGCCATAATATTTTAATGTATTATTTCTTGTTTCTCATGAAAAGCTGCTGAGTTTCGTGACAGCTTAAATAAAGATTATCTCAGTAAATTATTATTACAAAGATCAGCAAATATCTTACTCTGTCACACTGGTGTTTAGATAGAAATTGCAGTGCCAGCATTGCCTACTACAGAGGTAATGTATCTAAGCTACCTTTCTGACAAGGGAAATCATGCTGCGGACAAGGGGAAGTCATACTATAGGCTTTCTTGGGCAGGACTGAATGCAGTCCCGTCTGCAGGATGAATTAACCTAAGGGAATACATTTTTCCTATTTCAAAAGCAAAGTTTTGCTTAGACCATCTTTCAGCCAAAGCTTATGTTGTATGGGCAATAAGGTCAAAGGATCCGTAGTCTCCTCCAAGTCAACAGGGAGCAATAAAAAGATATTTTCTGTCATTAAAGATAACCTTGTGTACAGCAAGGGCATGAACAGTGTGTCAGCAAACTGGCCCTGTGAGAGTACTTTACTGACGCTGCTTAAGGTTTCTTTAACATGCAGACTGACATTATTATTACAGTAGAGAACTGGCACAGAACTTTCAGGATTACGTATTAAGAGCAGCAAGTCAAATACCAGCTGCCTAACGTGATAAATTCTAAGTATGATTCCAAAGAGGTTTGCATGAATTTCCTCTGCAGAGTGCATAGAGGCAAGTCATCAGTTGCTTTTATCCTCAGTCCCCTTCCCATTATTGCTTCTTGGCCTTTTGGCTAAGATCAAGTGTAGTATCAGTTGAAGTATTGGCATGTCCTCTCTGTGGGGACTCTATCCTGCCCTGGCAGCAGGCTGGGCTCAGTGACCTCCTAGCTCTTTTCTGTCTGTAAGTACTATCATTCCTGCTCTTTAAGAGACCTGGCAGCTTTTAGAAGTCAAGTTCCCTTTAACATGCCTTGCAAATACAGCTGAGATGCATTGGCCTGAATTACTTCTGTTTCAAAAGGCAGGTCGGTCTCTGTTTTCTAAAGTGGGAGAAATTGCAATGTAGCTGGAGGGTTTGGCTCCTCCCTGTTGAAGGCCAGCAAGGAATGTTTATCTGTAACAGGAGATTCTTTTATTTTTAAATTATTTTAATACTTAGAGGAAATATAAGCCAGAAATTTTTGGAAAAAGACAACACATGTAAGTCCTCTGACAGCTTTTGCACCCCTGCATCATTAGGGTTCTGGGACCAGGCAAAAAAGATCTCTTACATAGGAAGACCTTAAAATACTGTGATAACATGTCCATATTTGTCTAGTTTTGGGAGTGGTAAGCTTCCTAAATCCAAAGCTACGTAGGCGTAGGGGATACTGTAATTGGCAGCCAGACGTAGTGCCTGAAGACCTTACTTAATCCTGACTTTTTATACCCAGATCTATTAATTTGCAATGAAAAAGAGTTTGTTGGGCACTCAGAATGGGGGTGGGGAAAGATGCTGATGTCCCAGATAAAGACCTTTGGATATTATTTTATCTGGGATTTTGTTGGGATGCTGGGTTTTTCCATACCTTGCCTACCTGAGCTGTGACCCATTCTAACTATTGTGACAGGAGATGGGTGCCTCTGTTAGAGCCTGGGGTATAATACAGGTGGCATGCCCCTTCAATCCCAGGGTTTTTTTTTTCATCCTGATGCAACTGCAGCAGTCTAACCTTCAAATGAGGAGCTCTCCACTAGCAGATTTTGGCCAGAGACCCATGCATGTTTTTATGGCCAGTTCTTTTCAGAGCAGTCCCTAGTTTGCTGTCTGTAGTGGACATACCTCGGAGATTATATGGAACAGTTGCATTAGTGTAATTACATAATGCATGGGGAGTTTGTTTTGGTTTGTTTTGCCCAAGTCACCCATGGAACAGGAAATCATATATATTATCTCTGGAAGAGGCAGTAAAATGATATAGCGGAACCTCCTGTGTAACTCAAAGGTATTTCACTCCAGCGTTCCTATATCAAACCCAGTAACTAAAGGATATCTTCCAGTCTTTGTGTTGGCAGAGATCACTTAAAAACTCCACCCTTTATCTCTTCAGCTACCCTTCATAGAGGAGGTGCATGGAGGATGTTGTGAATTTGCCTTCCACCTAGGGAGGGATGGCCAAGTACCCTCCAAAAACACTTTTGGGGCAGCACTAGCCAGCTCTACACCCCTTGGCATAGGGAGGGATGTAGGAGACTTCTGCTGCAGGAAACTTCTGGCTGATTTTTGTAGGAAGGCAGTCGATGTCTTCCAAAGTTACATTCTCCCAGCTGATTTTTGTCTCAAAGATCTGTCTGGTCTAATGACACAAGTTGTGGGAGGCCAGGTTTTGTTCACTGGCTCTTGCTGCTATTTTGGGAATGTGATTTTTCTATTTCAGTTGGCTGGGCGTGGAGGGAGTGTTGCTATGCTTTAGGGAACACTGCAATTAGATTCACTCAAAACAATAATGATTATTAATTATGACTGTTTTGTTACTAAAAAGGGAAAAGGTAGAAATAAATAATAAACCATGGTTACTTTGAAAGCAATCTCTGTCTCTCTCCGCGTCTCTTTGAAGAGCTTTGAACAGACCTAGGAGCATTTGGGCTCTCCTTAGGGGACAGCAAAGCCCTTATTTCCATACGTGGCAGCGAGCCTTGCTCCAGTGTAAGTAATCTGATGAGTTCTCTGACAGAAGAACCGTATTTACCAGCTGGTGACTCTTGCTTGGTAAATCCCAGATAACTGTAGCAGCTGGGCAAATCTCAACTGTGTTCCAAATCATTAGCAAAAGTGTTTGAATCAATAATGGTAGGGAAGCCACTGAAACAGCTTTACTGAAACAAATCAGTGAATAAACACTGAAAATTTTCAGTCCAAGTGAAATCTGTTCACCAAGGATGGCTTCTTTCTCCCTATGAGCACACAGCCTCAGGCCTGCGATGTCCAACAGAAGCTGTTACTACCTGAAACCACGCTTCGTTATTCCACTAGAAGCCGAGCTAGAGAAGTGTCCTGCTAGCTGCTGGCCCCATCTGCCAGCCTCTTGCTCCTCCTGATGCCGCGATCGGGGGGTGGGGGTGTGTGTGGGGGGGGAATGTCATTGTGTCAGGCAACGGTGCCGACGTGCGAAGCCGCCGCTTTGCGCTGGGAGCGGGGCCACGGCCCCCAGCGCTGGGCCTGTGTGCTGGGAGGGCAGGGCACCGCTGGCTGCTCAGTGCAAGGAAAAAGTCTGTTTTCTTCAAGGTTTTTGCAGAACTGCGCAGCGAGGGCCTGGCAGCGCTGCTGTCCGCCTCTCACGGGCGCCGCAGCCATGAGCAGGCAGTCTGCTCGGGGCGCGGGGAGGGAGCCAGCTGCCCCGTCCCTGTGGCAGCAGCTCTGCAGAACGTCTTTGGGGCTTTTTGGAACTCTCTTAGCACTTATTTTTATGTATACACACACGTGTATAAATATATATAAAATACATCTTTACAGTTCACTGTTTCAGTTGGTCCAAGCAGATGTGAAAGTGTCTTTAAATCAGAGTAATCTCTTAAAAAGTAAGGAATCTTTATATCCTATAATCGAAACAGAAGGTCATCTTCCCTCTGCTTAATTTTTCTGTAAAGGTGAGTTGTGTTTTTGAGTTTACTAAGGAACTTGCTTCCATGTTGCCAAAGGAGTAATTCATTAGCCCTTAATACAAATTTTATACTTAAATGATCTCTGATCAGTAACTAGAACATAAAGTCAGTGTGCTGGTTTTGTACATAAAGATGTCATCTTCATCTAACCTCGCTATGGAGTTGTTATATGAGGCTTGCATGCTGCTACAAAACATCCACCTCAAAAGGGTTTCTTGATGTGTAAGAGTAAATGTTGAATTTTTAAGCATATCAAAAATTCGGGGACCACAAAAGATGTGGTTAAAATACTTTCAATCATCCATTTCTTCTTTTAATGAGCACTCCAAAATTTTAATTTCAAAATTTCATAGAAGTATCTTTCAATAGTCCCATACATCTGTGTGTGCAAATCAGAGGCATAGGGACATTATTTTGCTGAAATGACAGTGAAAAGCCAATGTCAGGCCCTGAGTTTTGGGATGTTGACAATGATCCTGAGTAGAAATATTTGTATTTTCTTAATCTTCTAATCCAGAAGTACTTCATAGAATCTGTCACTTGAGGTAAAATTCTCCCTCTAACAACTGAGGTCTTGTTCCAGACTAATGTGTCCTGGTTTTAGATAAAAAACACCATGTTACTGGTTTTTCTTCCCTTTTGATCCTCTGTTGTTGAGATTTATTGCCTGCCATTTATAGCATTTGCAACTTGCAATTAAGGCTTCTATTTTGAATACCTAATGCATAACCAGGAATTACTGTAACTTGGTATTTGGATATGTCTTTCAAACCATTGCAGAAAAGGATAATTCTATTCAGATGTGAGGTAAAAGCATTTAAAGCTAGAGAACGTTTATAGTGACCTAATGTTAAATGAATAAACGGCAATTTTATTAAATACTTTTCCATCAGTTTGAAGAGCTCCCCTGCATAAATTCTGTCTGGTGTCATCTATAGGCTGATTTTTATTTTTTTTAGCAGAATTGCAAGTACATTGAGCATTTTGAGCAAGAAAAGTTTAACGTTTGTATAATTAACTCTTCACTACCCAAAATCTCCTGGTTTTACATGCTCAGCTGGCTTTGTGCCATGGAGACTGATTGGACATTCATCTCTGGTCTGAATTAGTATTGGAGCTCCTGATCTAAGCATCCAGGAGCTGTATCCCCTGGAAGGACAACTTCCCCAGGCTGTGCACTGGCCCCCAGGAGCGGCGGGCAGTCGTGGTGCCTATCTACTGCGAGGCATCTGGCTGCTGTACGTGTGGCGAACCCCAGCTCTGTGGGTCTGCTCTATACTCAGCCTTACGGCAAGGAAGGGGCTGTGAGGACCTCAGAGAGTAGCTAAGGTGGCCAACAGCATGGGGAACTTGGGCATTACTGGGCCAGACCTTCAACGATGCTGAAGGGCAGATTGAAGGCTGGGCAGGAGAAAGGCTCTCCTCCCTTTGGGGGTGCTAACTGACAGTCACTCAAAGAACTAAACTGGGCTGTAAGTTTGAGCCCTAGTTGTTAAGTGTTGTATAAAGGAAGGACATAGTGAAAAGAAAGAAATGGTCTTGTCCCCCTCAAATGCCTTTCAGATTAAATTACTGTTTGTTGGCTAACAGGAAAGGTGGAAATTCTGTTCCACCAGAGATGGGGGTGTGGAATGAAAGCCCATGTGTATTTTTAGCATCGCTTGTAATCATGTCACCTTTTCAAATGAAAGCATCAGTGCATTAGAGCAGAGAAACTGGGAAGAGGACATGCTCTACCAAGAGAAATGTCATGCTCAGAGTGGATTGACTGAGTCACACACTGACAGTGATATTGGCACTGGCCAGGCCAGACCCTGCTGCACACTTCCTCCCCCTCCCAGCTCCTCAATTTTATTTGCCTTTTTCCTTCATGCATCTCTCCTGGTTATCTCCTCACGCATCTCTTCTCAGACGATTCTACCCTCCAAACTATATCCAGATGGAATAAAACCCAGCATGTGCAAGATGCTTTGGGATGTTCACCCAGAGTCCTGCCCAGGGGGTAGGCAGCCCTGGCAAGGTGACAATTGCATGCCTTAATGGAAGCTACTTAGCAATGCCTTTTTCTTTTATCTTTTTGCCTAAGAAGAAAGCAGATCTAACACAAGGAAGGGAAAAGGGTGTCTGTTCAACAATAAATGTTTGTTTGCTGTTCACCTCTGAAATGCCAATGAGCATTTGTGCTGTCTAGTTTGAACTGCCTTGGAGAAATTACTGATGCTGCTCTTGAAAGACGTTGTCCCT